ACTCAAATAGATCAATTCCCGAATCTCATTCTCCATTTATTCTTCATTTTCATCACCTTGTCCATTCCCATTTCTTCTCCTTTTCGTTGTTGTAGCCAAGCGACGACCTCTCGTTGTTGTTGTCGGTTTTGTTGGTTTTCGAGTTGTCGTTGTTGTCTTTTTTGTGTGATGACGGTGATGTCTTTTTGTCGTTTTTGGTTTCTGAGTTGTTGAGGGAATTTTCGTTGTTGAATCTTCAGTTGGAATTGGTTTGTCGGTTGGATTTTGAGGAGGAAAAGGAGTTGAGGGATCTCTTGATGGAGATTCAGAAGAGAGCACTGTAGTTGAGGGATCTTCGGGTAGATTTGTGGGGATTACGGTAGTCGATCCATCGAGCGGCACTTTAGTGGGATTCTCAGTGACTACAGTAGTCTTCCCATCAGTTACAATAACCGTTGTTTTCTCACTCGGCACTCCAGTTGACGGCCCATCTGTATGCGTTCGATTTGTTGGTGGTTGAGTGGGAGCCTCACTTGTCGATTCTTCTGTTGGTTGTTGGGTAATCGTTGGAGTTGACGGCTCGTCTGATGGTTGATCAGTTGGGGTTTCTGATGGAGAAACTGTTGTTGAATCTTGAGTGATTGGTTGCTCAGATGGAGCTCCAGTAGTCGGCTTCTCTGTCGGTCCATCAGTCACAGGTCTTTCCGATGGAACTCCAGTCGATGGTCCATCAGTCACTGGCTCTTCGCTTGGCCCATTGGTGCTTGGTTCATCAGAAGGAGCTCCAGTAGATTGTTCGGTGGGAGAAGCTGTTGATGGTTCATTTGATGGTTGATGAGTGGATGGCTCTCCGGTCGGACTATCTGTTACTGGTCCATCAGTTGGGAGATCGGTTGGTGGTTTGTCGGTGGGTTGATCAGTCACCGGTGCATCTGATGGAGCAGCAGTTGATGGTTCTCCAGTTGGTCCATTTGTGGGTTCCTCAGGTTGTTCTGTGCTCGGTTCTCCAGAGGGAACATTCGTTGGTTCTGCGGTAGATGATTGGGTTGATGGTTCTCCTGGAGTGGATGGTTGATCCGTTGGAGCTCCAGTCGACGGCTGAGATGACGGCGTTGCAGCGGATGGTTCATTGCTGGGTACACCAGTCGATGGTTGATCACTTGGTGCTTGTGTTGGAGCATCAGTGGGCTGTTCAGTGGGTGAATCAGTTGGGGCATTTGTCGATGGTTGACCAGTTGGAGCGTCAGTGACAGGCTCATGTGATGGATCGGAAGTAGATGGCTCTCCAGTGATTGGTTCATCAGTTGGGGCATTTGTGGGTTGTTCAGTTTGAGATTCGGTGGTTGGCTGATCCGTGGCTCCATCAGTTGGGGCGGCAGTTGATGGTTCTCCAGATGGAAGATTGGTTGGTTGTTGAGTTGTTTCTTGTGTTGACGGTTCATCAGTTGGTTGATCAGTTGGAGAAGCAGTTGTCACCGGATTCATTGTTGTGGTTGCTGCTGTTGTTGGCGCCGAAGTTGTCGTCGTTCTTGGCACACAAACGGCATTGTTCCGGGCAACGGAAACAATCTAAAATCTACTGATTACTTCCAGAATTTAATGGTTCAATTCTCCACTCAAATCCGATCTTTTCAACTCACCGTTCTCACGGGAATCGTTTGTCAAAACAAAATGTAGTCAATCGTTTTCTGTTTTTGTGTCGATGTCTGATCGGGATCCGATTCTGCTTTTTGGATCAAAAGCAGTGCTTCGTGAGTCTAAATATCAAAACTATCAATCAAAATCAAATCGAAAAATACTCCAAAATATCAAAGTTGTAATCTCTTTCCAAACCTTTTCAACAATATTTTCCTGTCCATCGAATTTCTCCAGAATTTTCTCCTCAACAGCTTTCAAATAGTCGTCGAGAGCAGTCTGGAATGGAGGTTTCAATGAAATGATCTCTTTTAGAAGATCTAATCGTTAGTTCTTCATCGATTTTCAATGGAATTTCCTTCGAAATTCTTACCAGAATGTTCTCTCCAAAGGGTTTAGCCCAATCCCTCAATTGTTCTTCTTTTTGTCGATCAGTCAATCGGTTATTTGATTGAATTTTCAGAAAAGAAAGCCTTGCAAAGAGGGGGACATTGTTGAGAAAAGTTGGGTTCGGAAGAGAACAGGAATTGTTGGGGAATGGAGAGATCGCTGGGGATTCGGACTGAAAATCGGATTTTGATTGAAGAATTTTGGATATTTGGATAGGGATAGCTTAGCCATTGAATTTTAGAAAAGACAAACCTCAACGAAACCCCCAATCACCAAAATCCCAATGAAAGTCGAGATCGAAGCACTTCTCATCGTTCAGAGAATATTCAAAGAGACCAATAGGATTACTGTAGAAAGAACTGTTGAATAGAAGGAGTACTGTAGTTGAGGTGTGAAGCTGTTATCTGTTCCTTTCCATTTCCATTGGATTCCTTTAAATACTATTCTCTCGGGTTATCTCATGATCGGTAATAGCCAATGAAACAAATTTGACGCAATCCCAGGCCACACATTTCCTTTTTTCCCTTTTTAAAGCCATTTCCCCTCCCCCACAAATTTTTCCTTATCTCCAGCCTTTTCTTTTCTTTTTGATGGCTAAATGGAGGAAATTTTATATTGTTTTCCTCCAGAGTTGTCCTGGGAGTTGTCCATTCCGAAGATGACCTCAACAAAGGCATTGCACATTTAACTAAACGGCGATCGGCAATGGCGACCGGCAATTTCAACAATGTTAACCCACAGCTATTGGTCCCTTTAGAAGAAATGATTGTGAGAGGTACCTTTGCTCTTTCGGATATCAACGTAATGTGCTATCGTACTCGAGTTTCAGCTCTGTTCCAGCCTTCACTCAAAACGGGGGGACCAATTTTAAGGCAACTCAGAGCACACTGCTTTTACGGTTTTATAGCAGGATTATAGCCGATTTTAAGGCAAAAATTCATCCCAGGAGTTTGGGCATCGGACATTGAGCTAAACAGTTCAATTTTCAATGAGCTATTTAGCACATTGAGTTGAACAGCCGAACAGCTCAATGTGCTAAACAACCCAATGCCATTGTTATAGTCGGCTAGAACATGCTCAGCTGGTTATTGTGAATGGCTTCATCCGTGAAATTCGCGACACTACACTTCTACTCTTGCAACTCTTGCTTCAGCTATGTGTAACATAAAGTAACTAGAATAAGGCTGATAATTCAGAGCAAAAACTACTATAAACTAGCTTCACGATAGGAATTTTCAGACGAAAAATAGCAATTATTGTGCTAGACTCGTTTAAAAACGGAAAGAGACGAGAAATTTCTAATTTCGATGTTGCAAAGTATCTAATTGGAAAATTTTAATCCTTTTTTTCCAAGCTATATTTATGATAGTTCTCGTAATCAATTTTTAGGAGAACAATTTGAATAAAGAGCTAGTAATATTAGCAAACATTTGATCTATAAATCGAATTTCTAGCGGCTGCCGCTCGTGATCTTCTCGCGCACATATTGACAATTGATCCGAATGATCGATACTCTGTCGAAGCAGCGCTCAATCCAAGTCGAAGTCTTCGCGCTGTCGAAGTCTTCGCGCTGTCGAAGCCGCGCTCAATCCAAGTCGAAGTCTTCGCGCTGTCGAAGTCTTCGCGCTGTCGAAGCCGCGCTCAATCCAAGTCGAAGTCTTCGCGCTGTCGAAGCCGCGCTCAATCAAGTCGAAGTCTTCGCGCTGTCGAAGCCGCGCTCAATCCAAGTCGAAGTCTTCGCGCTGTCGAAGCCGCGCTCAATCCAAGTCGAAGTCTTCGCGCTGTCGAAGCCGCGCTCAATCCAAGTCGAAGTCTTCGCGCTGTCGAAGCCGCGCTCAATCCAAGTCGAAGTCTTCGCGCTGTCGAAGCGGCGCTCAATCATCTATATGTGAAATTTTGGTTTAACGTTTGGATAACGTTTGAACGGGCTTCATCGTCATCGCCGCTCAAAAAAAACCATCGTCGTCCCAGCGGCGGAACTTGATAAGTTTATAGAAAGGGTTTTAAATTGAATGTTTTTTGAGTTTCATATAGGAATTTTTAAACATAAAACAGTTAAAATCTAAACGAAACAAATAAAATGCAATGCATAAATCTTTGCACCCAACAGTCTCCTTTATTTCTCTCTCACTATAACCTATTTTATATTTTTTAGTACTTCAAGCGACCACGAAAGGAACAAGAAGGCTGGAGTGGGGAATATGGAAGAAGAGATTATGGTAGGTTTTATTTGTTTTGTCAGTTGAGACAATTCTAAACTCATATAATAATGCTAGATGACGTTTTTTTGCTCAGGAATTTAACAAATTGCTGAACAATAGTCATTTATTTTGTTGTTTTCTAGGCTTCCATGATGGGAGAAACAAAAAGCCATGACCTATAACCCAAATGAAACGCAAAGGAAACGCTATTAGGAATTTCTTCCTAATAACGTCATCGTTTATTACGATGCAAGCGTGAATTTGGATCACAACATCACAGGAATTGGAGCATTCATAGGATTCTGTCATCCACTTCAGCTGTATGTCTTTTTATGCTATAACTATAGTACCGAACAAAAAAATGCTTTTGGATTGTTCCGGAAAATATTAGTTTATCTTGTAAAATAAAATATTGACTATTGTTTAAATTAGCCAATAAAATTTTAGCAATTTTCTTAGAATTTAGATCTCGCGACGTCAGTCAATACATCAACAAGGTTCAGCTAAAGCACGACAACAATCGCGCTGAAATCTTGGCTGCAACAGGAATTCTTCAACGTCTTTTGGTTTGGGAAGAGAACGACAAAGAAAAGAAGGATCAAAAGCACAAGTAAGCATTATTTATTTGTATAATAACAATAAACCTCAGCCATTTTGTGTGTAGAAAAATCTTTTTGATCATTAAGGTCTTTGCCGATAGTTCTAAGAACTGACTGTGATAGTGTGATTAATGATTTGAAGAAGAGGAAGAAATACAAGAAGCGTCAAGGACCAAGACCGTCAGCTTTTTTTTTAATGAGTTTGTTTTTCCATTTGTATTTCTTTATATTTTACGTTTAGTTATGAGAACTTGTAGACTCTGGCAACCTATTTTGAAAAGGAGATCTTGTTTCAGTGGATTAAGAATGATGATCTCCGCCTTGGAGAGGTAATGCTTTTAGAAATGTTATTTCCGAAATAATTTTTATAGCTTAATTTCTATTTAATTTGATTGCTTTTGTTAATTTCAGGCTGATAGATTTGCAAGAAGGGCAATACGGAAAGGTATCCAAAAGAAGGACCCGGTCGACAAAGCTTACGACAACTTGCGTGTGCCCATTAGGATGTAGGTTGTGGCTTATTTTGTGAAAGCACTTCCGTATCTGTAAAGAATTTCTATTTTAAGATAATGGCCAAAACCAAGGGACACAAACCCACCGATGGATACCAACCGTCGCCTATCGTTGAACTTCTCAAATACGAATTCGGCAAATTAAAAGAATCATTGCGTAAGGACTGCAAGGTTTATCTTTTAGCGTTTACCCTTTACATTTGATGAATTTTAGGAGGATTTCCCGAGTGCTGATCAACCTGACACCAGCCAGGCTCAACCTGACACCAGCAAGGCTCAACCTGACACCAGCAAGGCTCAACCCTGACACCAGCCAGGATCAACCTGACACCAGCAAGGCTTAACCTGACACCAGCCAGGGATCAACCTGACACCAGCCAGGATCAACCTGACACCAGCAAGGCAAAAGTAACCTGACACCCAGCCAGGATCAACCTGACACCAGCCAGGATCAACCTGGACACCAGCGGGCGTTGACCCTGACACCAGCCAGGAGATCAACCTGACACCAGCCAGGATCAACCTGACACCAGCAAGGCTTAACCTGACACCAGCCAGGATCAACCTGACACCAGCCAGGATCAACCTGACACCAGCAAGGCTTAACCTGACACCAGCCAGGATCAACCCCTGACACCAGCCAGGATCAACCTGACACCAGCAAGGCTTGACCTGACACCAGCCAGAATCAACCTGACACCAGCAAGGCTTAAACCTGACACCAGCCAGGATCAACCTGACACCAGCAAGGCTTAACCTGACACCAGCCAGGATCGGCCCTGACACCAGCAAGGCTTAACCCGACACCAGCCAGGCTCAACCTGACCCAGCAAGGGCTCAACCTGACACCAGCCAGTCTCTAACCTAACACCAAGCAGCTCCATCACTGAGAACAGAAAAAGAGATTTGTGGGCCTCGCCCCCCCCCTCGTTTTCACCTTGCACTTGGAGGTCCGCTATTTTTTTGTGTGTAGGGCCACCGGGGCCCCTTTTTGTTTAAGACCTTTTTTTTGGAGTAATACATTTCCGCCGGGGCAAGATAAATAATTTTCAAAATAATATATTTAAAAAAACTACAAAATCTATAAAACTACCTTGCTATCATAAAAGGAGTCTTCGGCGGAAAATGAGCTCATTTTGATCAACATTTCTCTGGCTAAGGCTGGTAAAAAATAGACCGAGACATCCACTTAGCACATTGAGCTGTTCAGCTGTTTGGGGCCTCATATGCCCAAACTCCCTGGGATGAATTTTTGCCTTAAAATCGGCTATAATCCTGCTATAAAACCGTAAAGCAGTGTGCTCTGAGTTGCCTTAAAATTGAGTCCCCCGTTTTGAGTGGTAGGCTGGAACAGAGCTGAAACTCGAGTACGATAGCACATTGGTTGATATCCGAAAGAGCAAAGGCACCTCTCACAATCAGTAGGTCTAATTATAGTTGGACTATTTCTTCTAAAGGGACCAATAGCTGTGGGTTAACATTAAGTTGAAATTGCCGGTCGTGCCATTGCCGATCGCCGTTTAGTTAAACGTGCAATGCCTTTGTTGAGGTCATCTTCGGAATGGACAACTCCCAACAAAACAATATAAAATTTCCCCATTTAGCCATCAAAAGAGAAAAGAAAAGGCTGGAGATAAGGAAAAATTTGTGGGGAGGGCAAAATAGCTTTAAAAGGAAAAAGAATGTGTGTGGCCTGGGATTATCAAATTTGTTTCATTGGCTATTACCGATCGTAGAGATAACTCGAGAGAATAGTGTTAAAGAATTCAATGGAAATGGAAAGGAACAGATAACAACTTCACACCTCAACCATCTTTTTCCTTCAACAGTTCTTTCTACAGTAATCCTATTGGTCTCTTTGAATATTCTCCTGAACGATGAGGAGTGTAGCGCTTCGATCTCATTTTCATTGGGATTTTTACGGTGATTAGAGGGTTTCGTTGGGGTTTGTCTTTTCTTAAATTCAATGCTAATATCCTATCAAATATCCAAAATTCTTCAATCAAAATCCGATTTTCAGTCCGAATCCCCGACGATCTCTCCATTCCCCAACAATTCCTGTTCTCTTCCGAACAACTTTTCTCCAATGTCCCCCTCTTTAAAGGCTTTCTTTTCTGAAAATTCAATCAAATAACCGTTGACGATCGACAAAAGAAAGAACAAATGAGGGATTGGGCTAACCCTTTGGAAGAACATTCTGAGTAGAGGCTGAAGGAAATTCCGTTGAAAATCGATGAAGAACTAACGTTAGATCTTCTAAAGAGATCATTTTGAAACCTCCATTCCAGACTGCTCGACGATTATTTGAAAGCTGTTGGCGAGGAGAAATTCTGGAGGAATTCGATGGCAGAAAATATCGTTGAAAAGTTCCGGAAAGAGATTAAAATCGATATTTTTGAAGTATTTTCAAATTTGATTTTGATTGATAGTTTTGATATTTGAGCTCTGAAAGCACTGCTTTGCGATCCAAAAACTCGAATCGGATCCCGATCGAACATCGACACAAAACAGAAGCGATTGACTACATTTGTTCTCTCAAACAATTCCATGTAAGGACGGTGAGTTCAAATGATTGCATTTGAGTTCGGAATTGAACACTTAAATTCTTTGAAGTAATCGGCGAATTTTAAGATTGTTTCCATTGCCCGGAACAATGCCATTTACAATGCCAAAACGACGACAACTTCGGCGCCAACAACAACAACAATGAATCCGGTGACAACGGCTGTTCAACTGAACAATTTTGATGGACAGGTAACAACTCAACAATAGCCAATCTTCCATCTGGAGAACCATCAGATGAACCGCTCCTCGTTACCAACAGATGAACCCGGTAACACAAACTCCCACCGAACAACCAACTGGAGAACCATCAACTGCCGCCTAATCCCGAACCTACTGATCGGCAACTACCGAATCAAACTGAACAACCACAAATGCTAACTGATGAATAATCACTGGAGAGCCATCCTTCCGATCCATCACATGAGCCTGTCACTGACGCTCCAACTGGTCAACCATCGACAAATACTGGCAACTGATTCACCCGCTGAACAGCCCACTGATGCTCAACTGGCACCAAGTGATCAACCATCGACACTGGTGTACCCAGCAATGAACCATCCGCTGCAACCCCGTCATCTCAGCCGTCGACTGCGGAGCTCCAACGGATCATGCATCCGCTCCGGGAAGAACCATCAACCCAATCATCTCCAGCCGAACCAACGAATGTTCCCTCTGGAGAACCGAGCACCAGAACAACCTGAGGACCCCACAAATGGACCAACTGGAGAACCATCAACTGCTGCTCCATCAGATGCACCATTGACTGATCAACCACCGACAAACCCGCAACCGATCTCCCAACTGATGGACCAGTAACGAATATGGTCCGACCGGAGCCATCCACTTCATCAACCATCAAATGAACCATCAACAACCTCCCACCGAACAATCTGCTGGAGCTCCTTCCGATGAACCAACCAGCACCAATGGGCCAAGCGAAAGAGCCGGTGACTGATGGATTATCGACTGGCAGATTCCATCCGGAAAGACCTGTTGATGGACCGACGGAAGAAGCCGTACTGGAGCTCCATCTGAGCAACCAATCACTCAAGATTCAACAACAGTTTCTCCATCAGAAAGCCCAACTGATCAACCATCAGACGAGCCGTCAACTCCAACGATTACCCAACAACCAACAGAAGAATCGACAAGTGAGGCTCCCACTCAACCACCAACAAATCGAACGCATACAGATGGACCGTCAACTGGAGTGCCGAGTGAGGCAACAACGGTGAGCATTGTGACTGAGACGACTGTATTCACTGAGAATCCGACTGAAGTGCCGGTGGATGGATCGAGTACCGTAACCACAGATCTTCCCAAAGATCCCTCAACTACAGTAATCTCTTCAGAATCTCCATCAAGAGAT